GCTTTTGGAAGATTTTTGAACTGCGCTTGTGATTCTTTATCTATTAGATTAGATAGGCAGCATTCTGGTTTTACTGCATATGTACTTATCATCATAGTACATCTGCTGTTATCTGTAATGTTCAGGTGGCCGTTACCGTCGAACACTTCGCTGTCGATTGGTGATGGTCAGTTAGAAGATGAATTTGGTCATCTTGGCATAGATTCACTTCGTCGTTCACCGGATGTGATAACACCTGGTAAGATAAAGAGTTTGTACTACAACGTGACTAGCGCATACGGCAAGCAGCCTTACCTTTTGAAAGTAACGCTAACAAGCTAGAGCTCTTTTGAGTCGCAGTTGGGTTTGTGAATTGCACTACTTTGGTACGGTTAGTGCGTATCCGTGACGAAACTTATAAGCAATTTTCTATGAAGTGAATTATGCGCCTTTCCAGTTCCATTCATGACTTTTGGGGCTACCACCACATTCATGCAGTTTCTAAAAACTTCTCTTTTTGTTGGTTGATCATTGTTGGGAACATATTGGGAACTTGGGAACATATTGGGAATAAAAGTTGAGATAGAGCACGTCATGTTTGGAACATTGTGATTGAGCAGATAATTTGCAGGAGCGACATCTATAAAGCATGCTGGCATTCTCAACGACAAGCGTCACGTGATTACCAAAGATTCGGATGACTGTATAGGCCTGTACGATGTTTTAGCAGGAAGGAAGGTAAGCTCTAACTTTCTCTGATGAAATGTATCTAATGAGGGAAGTGGCACTGCGTGCGTTTGGTGCAGTGGTAGCGCAGCAGGGTGGCGCGCGAACGGTCCGAGGTTCGATTCCCGCCAAGCGTTAATTCATCCAGTTCGCACAATTTGTGTTGTGACGAATTTCAGCGAGTAACGCGATACTATCACGGTCACAGCTTGAAGCTGTGTGGCAATGCTGCCAGCAGTACAAACTGGGGCCTTACAACTCGTCAACTTCAATTCGATATTTACAAGATTTTGTCCTACTTTTTTTGTAAACTTCATTATGGATGCTACTGGCTATATTCTGTTTGAGTCTTATGGGCTTAGAGCGACTTTTTAGGTGGCCGATTTTGGCAAGAGGCCTTTCGAGGATGTAATTTCGGAACACAACAGGAAAGTATTTGTACCAAGCTGGTTTTCGGTTGATTACAAGAGTGGGGTATGTGTTTGTTAACCGTTCAGCTTTTTATATTTGATTTTCTAATTTTTATTTCCTTTTTGTACATTTTGTATCTCTCCGACTTGCAGTTGTTTATTGGTTCGGCATACATATTTTGCATTATGCTCAAATCGTTGGTTTTTTCTTTGTGTTGTAGTCCTTGACTTCTTTGGGTTGAACCGGACACAG